GGATGGATGGATGGATGGATGGATGGATGGATGGATGGATGGATGGATGATAGCTATCTAGATACCTGGACAGACAGACAGACAGACAGACAGACAGAGAGAGAGAGGGGGGTAGGTAGGTAGGTAGGCAGGCAGGCAGGCAGGCAGGCAGGTGATAGATGGATGAATGGATGATAGATAGCTATCTAGATACAGAGAGAGGGAGGGGGGAGGGAGGGAGGGAGGGAGAGAGAGAGAGAGAGAGAGAGATGATAGCTGACTGGATGATAGACAGACAACCAGACAGATGGATGGATGACAATAACTGGATAGCTAGATAGCTAGACAGACAGGCAGATGCCTTCATAGAGAATACAAAGAAAGCTACTGTATGTTTCTAAAGGAACAGCTTGGCTTGGCTCATCTAAAAGATAATGTGAGAAGGTATATAAGTGTATTATAAATATTTTGGAAATGTTATTTAACTCATGTTTTTTTTAAATGACAAATTATATCTTCTGAAATGAAGGACTTTGTTCAAAAAAGTTATTAAATCATTAAAATTGAGGATATTGTTGGGCTGGATTCCTACTTCCTTGTTTCTTAAAGGATTTTAGCAAACAATACAAACTCAGATCCAATTCAGATTTAGCATGTTCTTCAGTGCGTATGGATGCTTGTGGGTGCTAACTCAAGATTCTAAAACAAGATGGGATGATATGTTATATGTATACTAGAACATATAATAAACAGTATATGGTCTAATGGATTGCCTTCAGACGTTGTGGGTGCATCCCTGGAAGATTTTAAGAAGACACTGGACAGCTGCTTATCTGAAATGATTTAAGGTCTCCTGCTTGAGCAGAGGGTTGGACTAGAAGACCTCCAAGGTCCCTTCCAACTCTGTTATTCTGTATTCTAATAAAATTAACTGGGTGAATGAGTGTGTAGTGTAAAAGGTTAAAATTGGGTAGAGCCAGCCTACTACATAAAACTTTGGTGGGAAATCTCAAGGAGGGGCTGAAGGGGGCATGATTAACTAACTTCCTGGACTGAAGCCTCCAGCTTCCAAATGATAGTTATAATGAGGCCACCAGCGAAGTTGAACCTCTCAACTTCCCAGCTGGACAACTGTGGAATTCTGAGCTGCCACCAAGGAACTAACTCTCTCTTCGAAGGAGCTGAAGGGAAGACAAAAAGGATCTTCACCATGCAGTTGGTGTTTTGTTTTTCTTACTGTTTGCCCAGACCTTGGATTTCAGACCCAACTCCACTTTTTTCTCGAATGGGGATTTGGGCGTGCCTGGGAGCCCCGGTGCAGAGACACTTGTTGGAGAAAGGCTGGAGATGAACTTGGGAGTCCAAAGACCCGGACGGAGTCTCTTGAAATGCGCCGCGTCTCCACGGGCAAGCTCAGCACCGACCCAAACATGAAAGCGTATCCGGGCTGAAAGGGTCCGGAGGGACGCTTTGGGGGGTGGGCAGCAAAAATAAGGCCTGGAGGGAGCCTCTACCTACCGTTCAGCGGCCGGTAGGATCGCCGCAGCTCAAAATGGCAGCGCTCCCGCGGTCTTGGGTCAAGCCTTACGTAAGCAACTGGGAGCGAGAGGAGGGGGGCTTTAGGGACTCAACATGGCCCTGCACGGCCGGTGGGGAGCTGGGCGAGCAGACGCTGGTCTGTATCTAGAGCTGCGGCGTCGTGGCAGACGCTGTTAACGGCGAGCTCCTTCCTGCAGAGCGAGGTGAGCAGCATCGGTGCCCTCCTCCTCCTTTCTCCTCCTCCTCCTTTCCCGCGCCAGCGCAAGGGCTCGCCAGCCCGTCGCTCCTCCCGTCCTCTAATCCCCGCCCGCTGCCAGCCAGCCAGCCCCGGGGAGGGACGGCGGGAGGGAGCGCGCGCGCCTCTGCTGCACCGCGCAGTTCCCAGCCAGTCGGGGCAGAGGCAGGAGCGCAGGCAGGTTGTCGCAGAGGGCGCCCTCTCCCACCCTCCTGGCTCCCGCTGCCCGCCCGCAGCTCCGAGGGAGGGGGCGAGACTCGCGCTCGTGTCCAGCCCAGCCCAGCCCAGCCCAGGAAGGCGACGAGTCGGGAGGATGGAGGTGCCTCGCCTGGACCATCCCCGGAGCAGCCCGGCCAGCCCCTGCGAGGATGTCCTCAAGAACCTCAGCCTGGAGGCCATTCAGCTCTGCGACCGGGACGGTGAGTTGGCGCTTCTCTCGGGCCTTGCGGCGAGAGCCGATGCCAAGCCCCCCCGTCCCGCTTCCCCGGCCTTCTGCGCCGCCGGCTATGGACCACCGCCGCCCCCTTCTCGGTGCAGCCCGTCCTTGCAATTCGCTGCTAACAAAAGGATTTTTTCGAGGGAGGGGCGGGCTCAGCTGGCGAGGGAGCGTCTGTCTGCCTGGAGAGGAAGAGACCGTCGCGGCCAGGTTGCCTCTGCCTCGCGGAGTCCCGCTTTGGTGCGGCGGCTTCCAGAGGCTGCAAGGAGGGGAGGCGGCTGCTCGCTGGCGCGGACCCTTTTGGACCCTGTACGGGAGTCCCGATTGCGCGGAAGCCGCGGGGGCTAAACTGGGCCCGGCCGGGGAGCTCCCGCCGATTCTCCCTTCGGGAAGAAGCCGAAGCCCCCACCGCGGACCAGCCCCTTTGCGGTGCCTTGAATGGTGGGGCGGACGTGTGCCTAGGAGGAGGGGATTCCCGGGGTGAGAAGGCGAAGGGAAAGGCGGCTCTTTTCCAGCCCCAAACCTGTTGAGGATCCGCCCGATGCGCTGCGCGGCCCCGGTGATGATCTGGCCCCTCCGAACTGGGTAGCGACCGACAGAGACGGGCGGAGACGCGGGGCGGGGAGAGGTCGCAGCTCGGCGCGGACAGCGAAAAACGCGAAGAGGGAGGCTGGGAGGTTTCAGCACCCTGGACAGGACTCGGCTCCACCGGGCTCTATTGAGGGAAGACCCACCAGATGTGGCGTTTCGGTCTGCTACTTAGCCCTTTGTTCTGTACCCGCCCAATTCCAGATGTTGGCATCCTCTGGGAAGCTGAGCGGCTTTTGCAAGGAGGGTCTTCCCCATCCGAGGGATGGCAGCTCAGTCATCCCTTATTAATGAACCAGAAAGTTAACCATGCTTAACAAATGAAGTTTAGTTTTCACGTGTGCAAGGGTCAAACAAGCAATCCAAGAAGGCTGTCCAGTAATCAGATCTCTATCACTAATGCCTCTGTGCCCAAGGCTTGAGGTGATTATGGCACTTATTAGTTCTCTATATTTATGCTTTAGTGCACACAAAACACAACCCGTGTACAAAATTTAATATTTTAGAGGATTATCTTCCAGAGTGCGGTTTATTTTTCATTTATTTTTGGCTAATCTGCTTTCCTTCTCCTTTCTTTTTCTAAATGTACTTATCAAATGGCTTTAGCTATCTTCTGAACATGGGGCAATTTAATGTGAAATGTTTGATCTCTAAAATAGCCTATTTTGAAATGTATGCTTGAAATAGCTCCTGGGTTTTCAGGATTGCAGTCAGGCAACAAAGAAGGTTGGCCACAGCCAACAGTTTTAGAGGGAGTATCACGTACTTAAGCATTCAAAGGTTGGGCATTTATGCAGGTTCTGGGTTTAAACAGCCTTTTAAGATTTTGTACAACAGTCCACCATTACAGGGTGGATTTAATGGGATGATTACAAAGTATTTCAGATTGCCACTGCAATTACTTTAAAATCTTGGCTGGAGAAAGCTTTCTAGACCTGAGTGAGCAATGACATGGCAGTCACACTTCACCTCCATTACAGGAATATTGACCACGTAATATATTTTCCTAAATTTGATCTGATTGTTCTGTTTCCCTCAGATGCCAATTTAATGTCCGTGTGGGTGAGAGAGAGGTGTGTGTTTTTTTCATTGTTGTTGCAGTCAAGTCAATTCTGAGATGCCACATGTTGAAGGCACATGGTTCAACTTTCTTTGTCTCAATCAAAGTGGCGTGAAGTATATGAAGTTTACTGGAGTACGCTGCTAATTGGCAAGCATAGAGTCTAATTAATCAAGCACAATCACCTAATAATAGCCTTATTGATGTGTTCTCTCTTTTTGGATGAAAAGAAAAGGACAAAAAAAGACAGACAGAGAGATATCAGAGGGAATATGGCATGCTTTCTCTTGGATAGGCCTTAGATGTCCAGCTAATGCCTGGAAAGATTAAGCTGCCCTCCCTGTGATACTTCAAGAGTTTTCCCACATCAAGCTCTTGGTCATCACATGGAGATGGTGCACTTTCTTGAGGAACATCTTCTCAAGGCTTTTCAGTAAAAGTGGGGGGAAAAAAGAACATGCATTTACATGTTTTGCATGGATCATTTACTACCAGAGGTGGACAGTCCTTGAAACATATTTTAGTGTTCAACAAGTGTCATTTAGGAGTCACAAATGACTCTATGGGGGAAGCGCAGAAGTGTAACAAACACTCTTTGGCAGGAAGACGTAACTTCATTTGCTCACAATCTTTAATACAACATAAATAGCACTTGTTTTTAGATAAGGGGTGCCATTTGTCAAGCATGCTCTACTACAGGGGTGTCAAACTCACGGCCCAAGGGGCAGATGTGTCATGTGCTGGCCCCACCCCGCCTGGTTTATCAAAGAGGGGAAAACTCCCAATACACCATGTGATGATGCCATGATGGCACGAGTTTGACACCTCTGCTCTAGTACAAAGAGGCTCTGCCCTGTGTGAAAACTTGATTGAAATGGAAAGTTGTTTCACATCTGCCTTTTGAATGAGGATGTGATTTGATTGGTAAAATCTATATTCCTTAAAAAAAATCCCCTGGGTGTTCAGCTCCTCTCAAACTGACAAATACTTTAATTTCACATTTTTTCAGCCAGTAAATCTATGCAAGCCTCAATGAATACCAATGCAGTCTTTATTTGGTTTTATTTTCAAGTGTCTTTCACGCAAGAGAATGTGCAGGTTTTCGAATTAACTTTTGCTTTAATTTGCACAAGATAAATCTAACCAGGCAGTGTAATCTTACTTATTGATATGGATACACAGGAAAATGTGAGTATTATCTAGAAACAGGATTGTTTTCATCTAGAAATAGAACGAACAATCAATATTTCATTTATAGATATTCTACAGTTTTGTGGTATGAATCATTCTAGAACTTTTTTTTCCACCTTAAGTGAAAAGTTGCTGGTCTTGGTGATCTAGAGATGCTGGAATCACTTCTGGAGAAATTATGTCCCATTTCTTGCTCCTCTAGAGAGTTGCCAGTTACAACTTTCATTAGAAACAGAGTAATATTTTCAATCCCAGGGCACAACAATCTTGCTTATGGAAAGTAATTTCAAATGGACTTTTTTTTTGCTCATAAAAACTTCATTGTGTTGTTTTTTTAGGCAAGACTCTAGGAAAGTGAAAGAGAAGTTGAAGCGCAACTATTCAGTCTGTCTTATATCTTCCTCCTTAATGCTCTTCTTATTACAATCAGTGAAAGTCACTGTCCTGCTTATTTTGCTGAATCCAGTCCAAAAAGCTTTTATTCCATTCAACTACCCCTTCTTCTAATTCAAAGACATCCGTGGCCTGCACTTTAGGTTTCTTCTGTTGTTTATTCGCATCAGTCTTTCTAGATGCATGGAAATTGGAAATGTCTAGACAGTTTTGAATTATTCCCATTTATTTGGTTCTTTTGCAGTCTGAATATTTCTTCTCTCTCTTTTTTTTTGAGATACACCCACATCTCTGAGTGCTCATTCCTGAGTGCAAGTATGTGGATCTTCTTTATAAGTTCATTTCACAGTCAGAGGGGCAATGTATCATTTTTATGTTGGGAAATGTGAATTGCAAAGTAATTTCCCGAATTGAAAAGGAAATGCAAACATTTAGTGAAGTAGCATCAGCCACTTATATTTAAATGATCATTGAGAGGATACCCAACTTAACCTTATCCTGAAGGTGCAGAAATATTCAGTTATAGCATCCTGGTTTTGCTTCTGATCATAAATACCCCTTTGGGTCTTCTTTTCTTTAGATTCATAATAAATTCATCTCTAGGCACCTCCAGGCATGATTATCATATTATTTGTGCAGCACAGTTTTGCGAATGTACAGTATCTATATAAAACAGAGTTGAATTAAATCTCCTAAAATGTATCAGTTGGATTTCATACGATGATGTGTGCATGAAAATACCTTTCTTGTGGAGTAACCATGGAAGTGGGGCTCTTCATTACCCATTCATTTCAGTGACATATGTTTTTAATTGCTTTTTAATTTATACCTCACTTTCCCATCAACTAATAAAATTCACAGGATTACTTCAATATTGATTTCATCTTCCAAACCTTCTTTTTGTGATGGCAATAGGTTCCCCATGGCCTCTGACAAGCAGCTTTCTATAGTTCTCCTTTTCATTTGGTGGCCAGTTTTGCCTAAGTTTTTTCCCCTTAATCGCTTAGCAACCATTCATCTCTCCTTCAGAAAAAAAAACCTTTGTATAAAATACAAATACTATCCTACTATGTCCATATTTTTGGTCTATAACCTTTTAATTGGATGAGCCAGAGGCTTCAATAAAACATTTTCAAAACTTGATATATTTTCTCACTATGGGAAGTTGTGTATATGTCTGCATAAGTCTCCCATTTGGCACTGGATGCTATTCCTAATTGAACAAGCAAGTTCAGAGAGCACCAAAGACCTCAGCTGCCTCCTCTTCCTCCTCCCTGCAAACCCCACATCCTTCAAGCACTGATGATGTTAACTAGTTGGGTCATGAAACGTCTGCAAGAAAACAAGCAAGTTCAGAGAGCATCAGGGACACTTCATGTCAACCCTGAGCTACAAATAGTCTCATTTATTAAACTCATATCTGTTACACCTTGTCTGCAGACCTATCTTGGTGCCCATGTAGGCAGTGCTCATATGAAATCCTGGAGATGTCAGGGGCTGTTTAAGCCCCAGAATCTACCACCTTGCTCATTGCAGAAGATTTATTTGAAGGTCCCAGAAAACATGGCTGTCTTCCATTTATCTTTTTCGTGTCTGTTTTCTCTTTTGACTTCCTAGATTTCTTGGCTTTGAAAAGAGCAACCTATGACTGGGTCTTTAGACATCAAGGCCTGGGTGATGATAGCCTGGGTGCAAGAGCCCTTTGGGGGGGATTGCTTTGTGCTGGTGGGAACTCTTCAATTCTTTGGCCA